CAGGTTTCTTTATGCATTCTGATTGGTGGAGGAGTTGTGAAGCATGTACCAGTTCTCTTCAGGAGATTGAGTCATGGTGAAGGATTTTTCTGAAGGTGATCATTTAGAGATGCTTGTCCTTTGTCTTTGACATGTGTTGAGACCCAGAGCTACTTCAGGTGGTAAACCTATCAATTTTGCAGGCAAAGGTATAGCTAAACTCTTATTTCGAATGTTTTTAGCAGATGGTTTTAGTTGTGTTTTACGGTGACCACTGATAAGAATGTTGCCTGGCCTTGTATGGTTATCAGACAAAAGTATCCTGTGAGAAAGACTAACTTTCTTTATCATTGTTAACAGTTTTTAGTTGCTTGTTTGTCACTTCCCTTTCACATCCCATTGGAGGTGATGCATGGCTGCAGTTCTTAGTACTACTGACACCTGGCCTGTTACAACTGTGGTTTTTCAGGCTTCAGTTACAGCTGGGACATTCATGGAGAGTTTCACCCTTTTTGGAGATGAATGGGTTGAAATGAATATAACTTATACACTGCTTAAAAATGTAGTGTATACAATACACAGTATCTGTTGGTCTTTAGGGATATCGGCCTGTCAAGCCATGATGTATCAATGTGTGAATCAATTGCACCCTGCTTTTGTTGCAAATGAAAGCGACAACAGGTGCACCAAACAGGCAACATTGAGACACCCCCCAAAACAAGGGGATGGTTTTGCAGAGGGTGACCATTGCTCTCTTTATTCCTTCTGACAGATTTTTCTCGAGCGATGATTTCGAGAGCTCCTGTAATTTTTCTGAGGTGGTGTTGCAACATTATTTGTTAAATGCTAAGAAATGTGACCAGCCGTTGGTACTGTTGAAGAGTTCTTATTGAGTCATGGAGCTTTTTTCTCAGTAGCCATGATTTGTCTTATTAGGTGAAAACGTATGTCCTTCATCGAGCCGCACTGTGCTTGTGTCCAAGCAGTCTTGTATTTTTAATATTCGCTCTCCCTTTTACCTCTGCTTTGGTCTCAGTAGCATTTCTCTTAACAGCTAAGATCAAAGTTAACCCTATAATCGTGTAGTTCTAGTGATAACCACATGACTTAATATCTAACCTTTCTGAAACAGCAGCAGAACACACGGAGTCAAAAACAAAGCTAAAAAGAAGCCAAAAAGAAGTGGTATTGAGACTGGTTCTCTTCTGGTTGATGGTCATTTGGGCCAAAGCTGGACTCACTTACTGCAATGGTAAGTGTTGTGCGGACCAAAGGTAAGCTAAGTTAAGATAGCCACACTTACCGTGAGTCAAGACCAACAATCAAAGCTCAAATTTATCATCGTTTTCTCACAAAAAAAGTCTGATATCCCAGAACAACAGTGTGTGATCTTTATTAATATATCGGTTATTGAAAGAGAGTTTGGGTAACTGAAGTTAAGCGTGCAATGATGTCCTACATTCAGCAGCTATTAAAGTTGGTGCAGCAGAGAAATTTAGGAAGAATCCAAATATTACAAATCATTTTTGTTACCAGTGGAAAAGTGACTCTGAAATACTTTGGTTCTCCTTCACAACCTGTGTTCCCAGCCATGGTGGCTGACCCCCGGGGAAGCAGCAGGCTCAGGCATGTAATCAATGAACACACAGCAGAGTGAACACAAAGAGCATGTCCTCACCTGAGAGGACGCCTCTTCCTGTGTCTTTCCGTAGTGATTATGTTTTTATCGGTGTGGTTAGGGTGACTCATGTATCTGAAGCTAAGTCAAGGTTAAGCTTATGCATTGGTGGAAAGTGTGTGAGTCAGGGGAGATGGATCTGGCAACACACACTCACGAACACAGACTGTATATAAAAGATGTCACTATGATGTCACCCATTGGTTAGCGTAGTTCCAAGCCGAGAGTTTTCAGCATCATCCAGTGTGGCTGTTTTTGTTTATTGAGACAAAGAGATGGATCCAACCTTGACCCCAGGCAACACGTTCTCACTCCCGAGGTGTAATATTTTAAGCTAGGTGTTACGCTTCCGGGCACCCAGCACGTTCCTAAATGACCAGATCGGAAAAATGAGGGAACATGAGAACCATTTGCAATCAATCCACACATGTTTGTTCATTTTCCTCAAATTGCTTTGGAAAACACTATTTCATGTCATGAAAGTGCTGGTTAAGGTTAGGGCTGGAATACATGGCATGGAGGTCACAGAGATGGGATGTCCCTAACATAGTCATCTCAGGCACAAAGAAGCCCCACCCACCTTCTGCTCAAACCTTCTGTTTGTAAGAGGCAGCCAATCAGAAAACATCTGGATTGAAATGAAGGGGAACTTCAACAGCTTGTTCAACCAGATAAACGAAGCCCGAATATAAAATACATAAAGATTATTTCCTATATAAATCATGCAAAGCTACTTTAATAGAGTCTAAAGGTAAATATATGGAGCTGAGCAGAGTAGGTCCCCATTCATTAATTCAGATTAAAATCCACAATAGTTGCAGTTTGTTAGCTAATAGTAGCACGTGCAATCAGAAAACGGTCACTGATGTGGATAAACTTGGAGACAAGGGGGACGAGAGCCTCCTCAGCTGAGCTCATGATTTAGGCTGAGAGCACAGATTTATTTATATATCATGAGCCGCGTCGTGCAGCTTTAACAGTGCACGTCTGCTGAATGTGTGGAAACGATAGAAAAAGGCTGATGAAACTGTATCTCTAAGAACAGAACAGCTGGTGCACCGACACCCGCTGACACCCAGCGCTTGATGCTGCTGCGTTACCATGACAACCTGCTGCGTACCCTCTGTTTCTGACAGCTGTTCCCATTGCGCCCATGCTTTGCTCAGCCCCTGGACTCACGTCGGCAGGATGGATAGCTTCTTGGGGTCAGGGGTCATGTTTATGACGTTGCTGCCGTGGAATCGTCATGTTGGTTTTTCATCTGAAATACAGCTTAGGGCTTAATTTTGGAAAATGTCCATTCAACCATAAATTAAAGCTTAAATTGAAGCATTTTTAAGTAAAATACATGAGCATATGAGTATTTTTGCAGACATGCGCAGACACTTTCTATTGGAAGCATGTGATGTTTGTATCCGTCCTCCTCTCATTATCTATTGAACCTTCAAGGCTTCATCCTGTTTTCCTCAGTCACACACAGCCAATAATGGTGATGGATTAAGAGCTCAGGATCATTGTCATCATGCACTCTGAGAAAATAAAGTAACTTATTAAGAGCTGAGCCCTTAACTTAGAGGCTAATTTTATATTCTTTTATAGGATTTATAATTTCAGATTAAACATAACATACCTAAATGATTATCTAACGAATAATTTAACCATTGATTTGTCATCTAACCTCAACATTAATGAATAAAAGCAGATTTCATTCAGCCCTCCTGTGCCTGTTTCAGCCATTTCTCGTGTGAGCTGATTGGCCGAGATGTGTCCCAGACCGCCGGACTCCTCCCCGCTCCAACTGTGCATGGTAGCAGTCTGCTGCAGCAGCACTGTGAGCCACAGACAAGCAGAAAGTCTTCAGTGAAGAAAATCACGGCCGCGGCTTTGACAGTTTCTATTCGACATTCTGTTTTTCTTTATTTGAGGACGACTAGAAATTTTTCTGAAATTGTTTACCATTTCATCCGGATATAGTGCCTTTTTCTTAAGACTGACACAGACCTTTTTAGAGAAAGAAGAATCGTGTTGAGGCACAGCAACATTCTTGGACTTTGATTGGGTCATGCTGGAGGATAGTTATCTCTTTGATTATTTGTACCATGAAAAGCTGTTGACAACAGATCAGGTGTTATGTTTTCAACCCATTTCCTGCCCAGCAGCTGACATACAGAAAGCGATGTCTGCTTACAATAGACCCAGGTAACCAGTCTACACTAAGTGTATTTGAAGGTCTTTTAAATGTATTTATTATTAAGTTATCTCGAGATCTGGGTGCTTGTGATCGGTGCTGTTTCTAAGCTCACAGCTCTGTTACCTCAGCAGTGTTTCCCACACATACTTTGGTTACAGTTGAAGTTTTGTACCACAGGATAAGAAGCTGTCTGGAGACCCAGCTGAATGATATCGAAACCACCACAACAGCAGTTTGCCCTGTGACCCAGCCAATGGGAAAACAGAAGATGAGCAGGGGCGGGGCTAGCTGGTTAGCATGGACTAAACTGTCAGAATTGAAATTATTGATGTTTTTCTCTTAAAGTTGTGGCTGAGTGGGCTGTCCAAGTAATGCCTGTGTGGAAAACACAAATCAGTGTGGAGCGTTCAGCGCCCTGATGACCAGCAGGTTTTCCACTTATCCCGCTTTATTTGTGGGTTTCATTCATTTGTCATTTTCAACTTTGTCAAGTGTGCAGAAGTGTGAATTTCACAGTTTTTTACAAATAGCTCAGCTAAAACGTCGGTGTGTTGCGAGAGCCCTGAATAAAGTTTGTTTGGTTACACAAATTGGCTGCAAATGTGTGAATGAAGCCATCTCCTTCCTGTCTTAAATCTCTTACTAAGCGAGGTAATTAAAGTCCCTGTCTGGGTCCCATATATGCGAGCCATGCTATGCTAATTCAGTATTCCTTTGACACTTCTGTGGAGACAACATTGTGGGTGTTTTCACATGGCCTGATTTGCAATTCACACTCGGGTTATTTCCATCACTGGCATCCTGGGAAGCAGGGAGGGAGGAAGTCTGAGAGCCACAGAGCGCAAAACTGAGCTGAAGTTTCACTTAATTGGGTGTATGATTTTTTTTTCTTAAAGGGACCTTTCAAGTGGAGCTCTAATTGCCACTTATTTTCCTTTAACTGAAACATCACTTTCTTTTTCTGAACGATTTATTTATTCTAAGAATTATTCAGTTATTCAGACATCCTTCAACATCTTCTGGTTTGGTGTATGGATAATTAGACATCAAGATCTCTGTGAAGAGAGCTGGTGAGTTAAGAAGTTTAACAAACTAAAGTTCATGATGTACCACTAATGGGCAATCTTCCACTTCTGTCTTCTCTCCTTTCAGAACACTGCACAAGCAGTTTGAGAGCTACAAACAGGAAGTGCGTCGCATCGGGGCCGAGACGCGGCGCCAGCAGACCCAGCAGAAGGACGACGCGCCCACCTGCGGCATCTGCCGCAAGACTAAGTTTGCAGATGGCTGCGGCCACCTCTGCTCCTACTGCCAGATCAAATTCTGCGCTCGCTGTGGAGGGCGGGTCTCTCTGCGCTCCAACAATGTGAGAAGCCTCTGAATGTTTTCCTTCGTCCTCTCGTACTCACCTCATTCCTGCTGTATACGATACACGATCGCTCCTTCTGCTTCTGTGTGTTTGTCACGTCTGCTTTTTTTGTTTCCTTGTCACACTTTGGTGAGAACAAAGTGTATTGGAAGAATGGCTTGGCACGAGACGTAGGTGCCAAGCCAATCTTCCAAAACAGGAGCCGATGGGAATATTAGGTTTGCAAGTATTGAGTGAAACCAACAGTAAAGCAAAATGTTGGGCACAATCACACTAAATTCTAGGCTAAAGTATAAATTTTTAAGATAAAATTTAGTCTGTGTAGTCGTGCATGTCAGTACCAAAGATATAAAGATATATATATATCTTTGTGCCCTGGTTCTGATGGTGCCACGTGAAGAGTCAGCTGATAAACAGCTTGTCTGGGTAATATCGTTTGTCTAAAAAAGAAATAAAATGCCAAACTAAAGCCAGCAATGCACTAAATGCACTGACCTGCACCAAGCCTGGGCTACAAGCTAAAAAGCAGCTTATTATAATTAAAGACACAGACTGTATCACCACGTTATCTCCATTCATGGGATTCATGTTGAATCAGTGTGCCTTCCAGCCATAAACTAAGCATGTTTGTGCTATTTTAAGACCCGGCCCCTCTTCCATCCAAGCTTTCTCTGGGCTCTCCTCCAACCCAAGAGAGAGGCCCACCTTCTGGTTATCTTACCTGACCATGAGCCCTCCACCCTTGGCCTGCTGGTTCCCAATCTGTTCAGTATCCGCCCATCCCAGCTGGGCCTGGACTCCCACTGGCACCACACGTATGTAGAACTCAAAAGGCCAGTCAAAAAAGGGGCTAAAGATAGTATCCCTGCTGGTACAGCCATTAATATTACTCTAACAGCAGGCACACTGCTTCACGGAAGTAAAGAGAGGAGGCTAGTATCATTTATAAATACAACAAATACGAACTTATTTGGACTTCAAATAAAACCAGACAATGTGGTCTTCTAGAAGAACTTCATGGTTATAAATTGAATTTAATAGAAATTTTACAAGTGAAATTTCAAGGTGCAAAATCTTTTAAATATTATTTTAGGTGTAACTTCATGTCTTTACTGCTTTGATCTTCTTGCTGGAGATTTTTGTTCATTTGTTTGTTTCTGTATTTGTGCTACTTTTACATAATGAATCAATTAATCTATAAACCTGCCTAATTAACTGGTGTTAGAAGACATCAAACACAAAATCTGCTCATTTACAGTTCATTAATAGATATTTTTAGAACATAATTTTTCCCCTTTATTTTTCTGGTCCGTCTCTCCTAAAGCCGATACGCCATTTTTCAAAATTCTTTCTAAGATTTGTTTTCTATTTATTTTAAACTAAAAGTTTCTGCATTCACAAGACAATTTCATTAATAAGTCCTTACAAGGAATACGCAACATGCAAGTCGTGCTCCACTTCTTCTCTCTATTTGTGTATGTGCATTAGCGAGCGTGTGTGTGTGTGTGTTATGTGGGAGTGATGTGTCAGAAGTGACGCTCTCATGGTCTCGGCAGTGCTTGCCTCTGTCCCGGCCCGTTTGTCCAGTCATGCAAAATAACAGCATTAGGAAAGTGTGAGATTTGTTGCATCACATAAAATTTTCTCCTGCCTACAGACTGCTCATTTACTCCACATGAGCAGAACACTTTATTTTCCTCCAGGCAGAAGTTTGTACCTCAAAATTACATTTAGTGCTCTATAAATATACTGTATGCACTTCATCACGTGCATTTTAATGAATGCACTACATACACTTTAAAAGTGAGCTGGCTAGAAACCGGCTTTTTGTCATTAAAAAAATACCACAGTACAAAGACGAGTACTAAATGTAATTTTAGAACATTGCCGTAAAAATATTCCATAAACCATTTTAAAGTCAGCATGAAGTAAATATTAAAAACCTGTTTTCTGGGGGATCATTTTAAAACTGTACTACAAAAACTGTCTGGGTAAAATATCACGCTGTACACGACATCAGTATGTTGCACTTTCCTGGACATAATTTCACAGCCTCAAAGCTAGAGACCCTTTTGACAAAAGGACAAAGATCCATTCTCAGCCATACAGGGGCTCTGCAAAACTATAAAAATAAAATAATTAGGGAGAAATTATCAGTAAAAACAAACGTTTACTTGTTCATAAGCAGCTTAGTGTAATAATTAATTAATTCTGATTGAAAGAGCTGTGTAGTGCTGCCCTGTGCCCTGCAGAAGGCATCACAGCGACACACAAACCACAAAGCTTAGCCTCTACGTGACGCTGGGCGCTAACTCTATTAGTTTAATGAGCAAAATATTTTGGATTTAAAGGACCTGAGATTGTTTGCAGTGCATAAATCCAGAAAATGGGTTAAAAGGGAAGACGTGTCCAAAAAACCAAAACAGTTCTCTGTGTTGCTTTTAGTGTAGGAGGCATGGCACATCCTGATCCTGTCGCAGGTCACGAGCAAGCACGTTGCATGCCGCCGCAGCCTAACGTGTCAGCAATCACATACATGTGCGTGCTGTTGTCTCCGCTGCCCTCAGACTCTGATTATGAAGTATGTGAAATAACTCTGCAGAATGTAACTAACAGATGTTTGCACCACATCCTCTTTCTCCTTTTTCTCCTCATGCATTTGCCCTTCTCTTCTCACAATCTGTCCGCTCTTCCACGTCACAACTTCACCTCCTCTACTTCTCCGTTCATTTTATCATTTATTTCTCTCCTTTCCTACTCCGACCCACCCCTCCCTCACTTTTCTTGATTCTCCCTGCTACCTGGACTGCATGCCACAAAGGAGGACAAAGTGGTTAGCATCCTTTTTTCTTTTGTTTTTTTCTGCTTTCTCTATGTGCTGTGAACGTGACGTCTGTACTACTCGAAGGTAAAGGAAGGAAATGCTGGCTGCGTTTAGATCTGGAGCTGATTTCTATCCTGGAAATATGATGCAAAACCAAATAAGTTCAGTTTCTTACACATTGGTGTCATCTGTCATTTAAAAAACAAGAAAACAGCAGTATCAGATGCAAGAGAGCAAGCTATTGGGTTGGAACGTAGCCAGTATTTGCACAAATCCGCTTGTGGATTACTGACTTAACTGAACAAAGGGAGTCTCTGAAAGTTCATATAGTTTGGTTATTTCTCTGAGCCTTTACTGTACCATCCAGGGTGGAGACACCTGGAACTGTTGTCTCCTCAGCGGTTACTCTCTCCGAATAAATCCTGACTAACTCTGTTTCCATTGTCTGTCTCCTCCCCCTGCAAAGTGTCTCATAGTGAAGGACAGGGTAAGACTTGCTGGACAATCCATGGATTTTGCTGCATGGGTCACAACTATTGTCCCCTCCTCCCACACATGGGTCTGTGCTCATTCGCAGTTTCAGAAGAGGATTTCAGACCCGCCATCGGTTTTAAGAGTTCCTAGAGGAGCTGGCTGGTGACCCCGTATTAGCACTCTAATTCTGAGAATGAACGCAGACCCTGAAAAGTAACTGACAGGCAGAGCGAGCATGAGCCATGACATAGGCTGTCTGCAGGGGCGTCTGAGCCATCCTGAGCCATCCTGACCCCTCTTCCTATGGCTGTAGGCATGGCTGTGCTGTGAAGGGGAGGAATAAATATTTAGATAAAACAAAAAGGGGGTCTGGGAGATTGGCATTTCAACTGGCATGCATATAAGAATGCGAGAAAGACCTTTTATCTGCATAATGAATGCACACTCATGCCTGTGCATGCTTTCCCTGCCTGTGTGTTTGAGACCAGACCAGCCTTGCCATGGGGAGACGGGAAGGGCCCAGGTATATTTATATATATATATATGTGTATGTTCCAGTTTGTCCTCTTACCACTTCCTATTAATGCTTGGTCACTGCAAACTGCTGCCAAAGTGTTGTTACTGCCGAGAAATTCAGAAAGTCAAAGCCAGTGAGTTTCAGTTTTTTGATGTTGCACCTTCCTCATATAGAACTGAAGAGGATTCATTGTTTTACAGTTTAAAGCCTGAATAGAAATCAAGAGAGGTGACCCCAACAGCTGCGGAAATAGGACTATAAATCATAAATCTTATGGCGCTTAAAAATGGCCAGTCTTCTCGAGCACCTCTGGGCTGTAGAAGTGCAGCAGAAACAGCCATCTGTCTGCAGGACATGATACACAATACCTATGATTATTATAGTCTGAAACTTGAAATAAAAAGGCAGGATGACTTAGTTTTAAACAGTCCCCAGGTTGATACGGAAACCACAGCGAGCTCTGCAGTGTGATAAGAAGCTGGTGTGTGTTTCATGGCCCTCTCTTTGAAGCTGCCCTGCTTTTGCTGGTGCTATAGCTTGTTAATGGCTGAGTGTTTGTTTGTGTGTGTTTAATGTCAGCTCCAGATGGCTTCCAGAAACTGAACTAACTGCTGACAATCTGTCTGCTTTGTAGAGGCGCACTGCCTCCCAGTGGAGAACAGACAGGCTCCTAACACAGACACCTGACATCTTCCAGTGCCAATGAAAAATGCATTTCGAGCCACGTTAAGGCTTTTCCAAACTATTATATACACTCTTCATTGTTCGTTTTTCTCTGATCTGGTTGCAGCTGTTGTGTGCGTACATATTTGTAAGCATTCAGTGAGTTCGTGACCTGCGAGCTACTATTAACACATTCAAACTCCTACACACCGATACTACCAGTGCTAAATCTTTGTCTCTCAGTGCGTCGTGCTCACACTGCTTTTTACCAGAAGGGCGGAAGCACTGCATAATCTCCATCATGTTTCTCAGTATAGGCGACTAACCTGCTGCTCTCTCTGCACACTTCACTCTTCTCTTCTCATACACGACTCAATCTGCAGCCTGTGTAACACGCGCGCTTTCTCCCTGCTTTAATTGTCTCAGCTTATGCCTTTTCTCTTTTCCTGCTGATACACCGACACAAATCTGTACACCCTTTTTTTAGATATAAAACAGTTTATCAGGCTGGAAGGTTTGACACACATCCTGGATTTGAAAGCTGATGGCTATGTCCATCATGCACACTGTGCAGCTCTAATGACTTCCTTGACTGGATACGTCAGTATCAACAATCTGAAAACGCGCCTTTGAATGCTTAAAGTGATTTGTTTCAGCTCCTATTATTATCATCCTCGCTGGAAAGTGAAGGCCCACGTAAACAATTCAAAGAGTTTTTTGGACACACTTTGTGTGGCTGCTTCTACTGCTGAGTTCAAAGAGTCCAACTGGGCAAGAAACAAGAGCAATCAGCAAGCAGTCAGATTTTAAACAAACCTCAGGGTTAAAAGAGGACCTCTTGTTCTTTTCCTATTTTCTGCTCCTATTAAACATGGTTGGGTTTCACGCAGTGAGGTCGCTCCTCATAAATCAAGCACAGAGATATAAGATCTTCAACCAACAGAGAAATCGAGTTAACTTTGCTGGACTTTACTGTGAGAAAAATAGCAGATCAAACAGAGTTTAATCAGAAGAATGATGTGAAAATCAGATAAACGACTGACAGGAGCCAGAAAAAAGTAAACATTTTGCTACATTTCATATCCAAAATCTGAATTTGCTTAATTAAGATCTCAGAATGGCTCCAACATGAAAAAGTTTTTTTCTACTCTTCCGGAACAGGTCTCCTTATATGGTCATCTGAAGGGACCGGTGGGGTTGTGTATTAATGCTGTGCAGAACTTTGTAGATCCATTGTCTACATGTTGTAGTTGTGTTGTTTGTGTTGTTGGTGGACCCCTAACTTAGCCTGTGCTGTGGAGAAGACAAAATAAATGCACACAAAGAACTTCTTTAGTGAAGTGAAACCAACTGCCAACTGCAGCCATTACCTGTGCTTCCGGTGGGCTTTTTGGAGGATTTTTGGTTCTTATGTTGTTTTGTTGATTTCCCCCCTCTCTTACATACGTAGAGCATCATCGCCATTAATGTCAGGCTCTGTGTTGATGGGGGTTTTTTCAAGGAAGGCACACAAGGACTTCTGTGTTGGCTACGTACCCATAATCTTTCCCTTTACTTAAACAAAGTTGTATATAAGCTGATTACAAATGCAGAACATTAGTTCAGCTGTGGCTGTGAGCACAGGAACCCGCTGGTCTTTAGTTTGCAAGATCCAACCAATCAGTAGAAAGTTGCCTTAAACTGGAATTGAAGGGCTGCACCGAGGCCAAGTATGAGACAAACAAGGATTGTTCTTAACTGTAAATCAAGCAAAGCTAGTGCGGTAGAAGAATAAACATATGCACTGGAAATGAGGACAACAGGAATGCTTGGTGAGCACATGCAAGGTTTTTTGGTCACTCCAATAACAATGTCAGCCATAGAAAATATTCCCGTTGTTACACTACTGGTTTGCATCACTGTCTTCTCTAATGCAATTAAAAAATGCACTTTGTCCACAGACACTGCTGCGTTTAGTGCACAAAACACTTTCATCTTTTTCATTTAAAATGTTGTTAAACTGGTGAGAAATGTATGTTGGGTTTTTTTCCCAAACGTGCGTGAGAGGAAACGTGACCACGTTGTGTAATTTTGCTTAATCTTATGTGGTTTTAAAAGCTCTTTTTAGCGTGGTGATGTAGAGCGTGGTGAGAAAGGCATTTCAAGATCGGAAGTGGAAAACTGGTGTGGATTTACAGCCACGCCACCTTTGCTTTTTCCTTCAGTCTTCCTCACCACAGAGTGGGTCTGGCCTGCTTACAGACTTGATCTACAGCCTTATTAGTGGAAATGGAGCATTATGTCTTCGCCGGTCATCGTTCTTCTCACCATTCACGATTTACCATTCCCCGTGAATGATGGCAGTTTACACTCAGCACCGCCTCGTATGTCATCCTGTCGAGGCATGTGTTTGTGTTGAAGGCGGTGTCGCTGCGCACACTGAAAGCCCACTGCGTCTCCCCACTGATCTGCCATCCCCAAGGCTCCCATCTATTCTGCCCATTTAAGGAAAGCTGATGTTCGCGCGGTTCAGGCCTAAATGAATGCTGTTCTCGTCAAATGCTGCTGCCGCCGCCGCCGGCCAAGCTGCTGCAGCGATGCACGCCTTTCCCGTTTTGTCAGCAGATGGGCGTCCCAGACACCGGGGGTGGGAAAAGAAGAGGGTGGGGGTGGAGAATTAGAGACATAAGAGTGACAGGTGTGCCGTGTCTTCATTTGTCAAGTCAGCCAGGTGTGTCAGCCAGGCGAGAAAGTGAGGAGAGATTAGAAAGAAAAGAAAGAACATGGAAAGAGAAAAGCCAAGAGAAAGGGAAAGAGGGGAAATTAAACCAACAGAGAGGAAAGACGAGAAAGGTGGAGGAGGGAAGAAAGATTTATTGATAAGAAATAAGGAATGGAAATTGGAAAGGAAAAGAAAAGAAAAATGCAAAAGAAGAGGGGAGAAAGAGGAATGAGGGGAGAAACCAATGAGAGGAGAGAAGGGCTGAGGAATAATAGGAAAGAGGAAACAGAAGTCAAAGCTTTGAGAAGAGAGGGAAGGAAAACAGAGGGCTGGGTGGAGGTATGAAGGGTAAAATACAAAAGACATTTGTAGAAAGAAAATAAGGAAAAAATTGGGATACACATCAAGAAAAGGAAATATGAAAGGGGAGGATAAAAACTAAGAACAGGAACAAGGAAATCAGGAAAAGGGAATAAAAATGGAAATAAAAAGAGCAGAACCAATGAAGCCAAGAAAGGTTAGAATGGGAAAGAGATCAAATTCAATGAATAGCAAGGAAAGAAATAGAAAAAGAGAAACATGAGTGTCGTAAATAAGGAGGCAAAAGAAAGAAAGGATAAAACAAATGCGATGGAAAGCCGAACTAAAGGTTAAAGAGGAAAGAAACAGAAGAAATGAACAGAAGAGATGAGACCATGTTCACGTTCTTTTGAATCCTGCCAAAGCTTCAGTCAGGTTATTTGTCAGGTGACAATTTTATCTTTTTAATTTTTGTTGTTATTGCCTTTTAGCACTAAACACACACACACACACACACACACACACACACACACACACACACACACACACACACTGCTTTGTAGCCCTTTCCCTCACTGGCTTGTCTGTGTGATTTGGTTACCATGGAGAAGCACATTTTTAGGCAGAAGGAGGTTGACATTATTACACGACAGAAACAACAACACTGCCTACACACGCACACACACATACACAGGCACACACACACACCTCGCCTACAGGCAGTCGCCCACGCCACACTCTTCCAGGCATGAAGGTTTGAGAAGCGTCCTACATACAAGTCCTGTAATGCACATCTGCACAGACACGTCCTCACTCCGCGGCATCCAGTCAA